TTGCCTAGTTTTCGGCTTGTTAGTTAGTTAAAAGTTTTTGCGTGCAATTAAAATGCTGCGCAAAAAGTTTCCTTCCAACATTGTTCTTAATTTTTTCCTTGGTTTTTGCAGTGTTGCCAAAGCCAAATACAAAATGAACAACTATTGTTTTAGCACCGTGTGTGTGTGTGTGTGTGTGTGTGTCTGCGTAAGTCCTGCAGTCGGCAAAAGTGTGTGCAAAGTCCTGTGGCAATTGTCTGATTGTTTTCTTAGCCGCAGCAGCAGTAGCTGCTTCCGAAGGAGCAGCATTCAATGGCAAAGAAGAAAGTTCGTTATCAGTGACATTTTGGCGTATAAATAGCAAACAGCTCGCAGTCGAAAACCCTTTTCGGAGTCCTTGGCACAAACGCTAACCCTCGCTTCGTCCTGGCCAGTTATGCACCAAGAGAAAATGTTACAAAGAAGTTTGTGAATGTATTTAAACAAAAAATAACAGGCATTGCTAGAGATGTTTATTGATAGATGATAGCCACATGAGATATACATTATCAAACAAAGAGATTGCTCTTCATTTTATTCAAATATTTGCATTCTTTGAATCGATATTTATAGATATTTGTAAATGTTAAATTTTTGAATAAATTAAGGATTTTGAATTATCATAACACAGCCAAAAATGCCTCAATTTTATTTCGGAAAATTGATTTATGCTAGTTTTTGTTAGGTTTATAAATCTGCATACTCCATGTAAAATTAAAAAAAAATTCAAATTTTTGAATTTTTTTTTTTTCAATTTTAACCTTGCAACCCCTTATAAAATTATGAAAAAATTTCGAAAATTTATTTTTCTCTCAAAAAGTGCTACAAAGATTCGCCTGTTGATGCTGATTAAGAATATATATGATTTATAGGGTCAGAAATGGCTCCTTCACTTAGTTTTAAGCTTTTGACTCAAAGTGAAATACAATTTTCTAATCAATATTAACAATATTCTTTAATGAATATTTTTTGGACAAGTCAAAATGTAAAAATCTCAACTAAGCCAAAAATGCATTAATTTCAACTCGGAAAGCGTTTCTATGTTAGTTTTTAGCAGGTTAATATATTTCGATACTCAGTTTAAAATGTAAAAAAATCAAATTTTTTATGTATTTTTTAACGATGTAACCCCTTATAAAATTTTGAAAAAATTTTACAACATTTTTTTTTCTGCCTGAGATGTCTAGAAAGACTTCCCTGTTGATGCTGATTAAGAATATATATGATTTATAGTGTCGAAAATGACTTCTTCCCTTCGTTACAAGCTTTAAACTAAAATTATAATACGATAAATGTTATCGATAACATACCGATAACTGGATATTACCAACATTCGTAGGAATTACTACTCCACTATGTAGATTTCAACTGGATTACCTGTCTTTTTATATCGTTTTTCACTTGCTGTTTTATTTTAATTTCTAATTAAATATTCACCCCTTTCTTATTTTCTTTTTAAATAAATTTTTGTTGCAGTGTAGTTGTTAGTTCTCGATTCCCAGTTAGCAGTTAGCAGTTCCCAGTTGCCGTGGCGAACGTGCTGGCAATGACAATTGAAATGAATATTCTAAGCAGCTGGGCCACAAAGCTACTCAAAGACCGGTAGATTTGGTGGACCAAAGAACACAGAGTCCTGCAGTCTGCACTTTGCAATCCTCGAATCCTTAAAATACCAAGGAGTTTGTATTTATCTATATATAAACATATATATATATATATATATTTGCCTTTCATCGATGTCTGGGACAATTAGGAAATGAATGAATGAAATGCTGCACAGAGCCATAAATTTTGAACCAAAGACATTGATAAATCTCTAGATGAAGGCTTGGGACTTGTTTAACTTCTTAATTTAAATTCTTGCCTAGAGGTTTGTTTCCCCCTTCTTTTTGCTTTAAATTTAACCGACAACTGTCACTCTCAGATCGTTCTATCCGCGAAATTAAATCAATTGCTGACCGCAGAAACCGAGTTCTGCAAAAATATGATTCATGGAGGCCAAAAAGGAACCGCAGCAGTCGATGTCAGTGAATATGCAATATATAAAACATAACATTTATATATACATATAAAAGAACTGACAAAACTAATTGCCTTGGCGGAAAAATAAAGCGCATAAACCCCCATTTGAAAATTGAAAATAAAAATTCTTAACAAAATAAGTTGAAGAGCTGAAGAGTTCCCGAGTTGCATTAAATCATTTCCGCACTGCGAAGCAGGCAGATTCTTCTTCGTTTTTATTATGTTTCTTCTTTGGGTTTTTTGTTGTACTATTTTGTTGTATTTTTTTCTATTTTTGTTGTACTATTTTTTTTTTTTTTTGTCCTGTTCTTGCGGCAAGTTGCAAGTTGCAGGCAGTTGCAGTTTACCACTATTTATGGGCTGCTGCTGGTGGCGATGAAAAAGATGAAAAGTGGCAGCTCTGCCTTCTCTCTCTCTATATATATATATTTTTTTTTTGCTAGCAGAAAAATGCTGAAGAGTATCCTGGTATCCTGCTATATATATTTATATATATAAAGATATATAGTATGCCCGCCCGATTAGCGCATTCATGTGTGTGCATGTGTAACATATTCAGGCAATTACTGCCATTCAGCGCATTTCAATTCAACTTCAAAACTGTGCCACCCTCTCGGCTCCACCCCTCCCCCTCCCTCAGACTTTTCCGCAACAAAAGTACAAGGAAAAAAACAAAAAAAAAAAAAAAAAAGAGGAAAAGCTTTTAAACTTCACTCAAGATTTTTGCCGTTCACGGCTCTCGGCTCGCAAATTTTTTGACTGTTGCTGTTCACTTAGTTTTCCCTGTTTTCTTGTTTTTTTTTTGGGTTCTCCAAAAGTCTGACAGGATATTTGTTGGCACTCTGGTTAAGGATATGTACGATTTTGGTGGGTTTAATTAATTGAAATATATTTTAAAGGGTGGAATTAATATATAACTCGTTGGAAATATATAAATCTTAAAGAAAAGAAAATTGTAAACTGTTAAATGTTTTTCAAAACTAAAAAGAATAAATGTCGTGATTTGTACTTCACTTCAACTTTTTGGTAATTAAATTAAAGTTTCAACTTAAATTGTAATAAATTATTTGAAAATTTTTCTCTTAATTTTTTTACCACTGTTCTGTGGCATTCTCATAATTTTTTGGGCTTGCAATGCTCACTGCTTTCGCATCTTCTTTCTGGGATGCTACACTATATATCCTGCTCATGCTGTCTTTATCTATGACTGCCACTTGATGTGTGTGTGTGTGTGTGAGTGTGTGGGGGGGGGGTTACACAACTGGCTAAAGAAATAGTACAGTTTACAGGGTCTTTCAAAAGGTTAAGTTGAGCTTGAAATTCATTTTCAAGAATTTTAAGGGAATTGGGAAATTTACAAATGAAAAAACGGGTTAAAAAATCATAGATTTTTGAGTTATTAAGGTGTTTAAGAAGCTTATAGCTTACAAATACTAATTAATGAACTAATTATACTTCTCAATGTACTTTTTAATATACTTTTTCAATGTAAATAAGAGTTTATTTATGAGAAAATAAATAAAGAAGATAAATATGAGTTTTCTGATATTTCTGTATTTGCATTTTTCTAACTAATTAGGAAGCTTTCCTGTTACTTTTACCCACTTTCAAATATTTATTTATGCTTCTCATATAAAAATTAAATACATTTCAAGAAATTTCAAGAAAACATTTTAAGGGAATAAGGAAATGTAATAATAAAATACAGGTTGAGAAACTATAGATTTGGAGAATTTTGTAGGTACTGAAGAAGCTTAATTATAGTTAATAAATAATAGTTAAATAATCATATATTATTCTAACATATAATTTATGAAAAAAAGGAGGAAAAGATTTGATTTTCAGATATTTTAGTGCTAACTAGTTTGGGGCTAACTTTTAACTTTAAAACATATTGAAATATTTATTTAAACTTCTCACATAAAAATTTAATACATTTCAAAAAATTCAAGATAGATTTCAAGATTTCAAGATTTCAATTTAAGGGAATAAGGAAATTTAATAAAAAAAATACAGGTTGAAAAGCCATAGCTTTAGGGAATTTATAAGATGGTTAATTATATAATAGTATATAATTATATTTATGAAAAAAGAGGAGAAGATATTGATATTGATTGATGAAGATATTGGTTTTTAAATATATTCGTTTTGACATTTTTCCAACTAGTTAGGGGTTAAAGTAAAGTTAAAGTTATAAGTATAACTTTTAAACATATCGAAATATTTATTTATATATATATTTATATTTATATTTATTTATATATATATTTATATTCATATTTATTTATATATATAATATTATATCAATATTTTTGTAAGCCTAATTATTTATTTTAAATTCTTAACTATTATTTTGGAAACATTTGTTTTTTGGCTTTGCCGCTGGCCCTTCATCATTTTCTTTCTCACTTGATTTTGCTCCTGCTGTTGTTGGGCTTTTACTTTGTTGTCGTTTTTATAAGTCTGTCAAAATGTAGTTCATGTATGAACACACACACATCATGAGATATATATATATATATATATATTTTCGGTGAAAATTCATTTTGCAGTTGACATAACTTTGTCAGCCCCAATTTATCAACAACAATTAGTAGAGCAGAGCGAACCCCACTGACTTGACTTGACTTGACGAACAACAGTGTGTGTTGGGTGTGTGTCATGTTGTGCGATGTGTGTGTGTGTGCGTGTGTGTGTGGCATGGCAAGTATGTGACAAGTATTTTGAACAAAAACTTTGTCTGCCAAACAGACTCCACTTGGCTTTTCTTGGCCCCAAGAATTGAGAGCGGGACGAACTTTGTGCCCCCCGACGAAGAGTCGTAAGCGTAAGCGTAATATTATAATGCCAAAATAATGTGCATTCGGAAAATTGCTGTCACAGCAGCAGCAGCAGCAGCAGCAACACATCAATTGTCAAGTTGTCAGCTTGGAGCTGGCTTATTAAACTACAAAACTCACCTGTACTCGTGCGACATGAAGAAAGTGCCACGAATCAGACATCCATTTGGATTCTTACGCTTGCCATTGAAAATCTTTTGATAATGATCATAATTATTCAAGTTGACAGCTCCATCGAAGGTTAGCATAATGATTTGAGGGACCTAGAATCATAAATAATTGTATTTTGTTATAAAAAATAGACCATAAAGATAAAGATATAATATTTGGTGCCTAATATGACCATTTCTTAGCATCTTTACAATAATATAGTGTGATCTGATTACTATTTTTTATATTATAAGCTTCTGATCAACGTTAGTATACAATTTATTCGAAAATATCGATATATATCGATTATAAGTTCAGTTAGAAGCTTACAAAACACTGAAGGAGTCATTTGCGACCCTATAAATCATATTTATTCTTGATCAGCATCAAAAAACGAATCGATCTAGCCATATACGACGGAAAAATAAATTTTCGAAATTTTTAAGGGGTTACATCATAAAAATTAAAAAAAAAAAAAAAAATTGATAAAAAAATTAATTTTTTAATATTTTAAATTGAGTATGCAGAATTATTTACCTTCGAAAAACTTGCATTCGGACGCTTTCTGAATTGAAATTAATGCATTTTTGGCTTAGTTATGAGATTTTTACATTTTGACGGGTCCAAAAAATATTCATATAATAATATTTTTAATATCGATTAAAAAATGGTATTGCACCTTCAGTCAGAAGCCCAAAACTAAGTGAAGGAGTCATTTCCGACCCTATAAATCATATATATTCTTGATCAGCACCAAAAACCGAGTCGATCTAGCTATGTCTGGTTAAAAACTAAATTTTCGAAATTTTTTCAAAGTTTTACAAGGGGTTACATCGTTAAAATTGTAAAAAAAAGGGATAAAAAATGGAATGTTTATTATTTTAAATTGAGTATGCAGCTTTGTTAACATGCTAAAAACTAACATAGAAATGCGTTCCGAATTGAAATTAATGCATTATTGACCTAGTTATGATATTTCAAAATCTTTGATTTTCTAAAAAAAAAATAGCTTATAAAAATAACGATTTAATACACATATTATAGGTTTTCTTATATTTATACAAAGGCCAAAAAGCAAATGATTACTAATAGGTGTATATATTTATATTGGCAATCAAAATCATAATATAAAAATAATTAAACCTTCGAACAACAAATTCGATAAATATTTATTTGAATATTTTTTTCCAAGTTTTGTAAGCGGTAACATCATTAAAATGGTAAAAAATTCATAGAATTTAATTTTTTTTTATAAATATTAAAGCCTAATAAGCTAGTATCTAAATAAAAGCCAACACAGAAAAGCTTTTCAAATAAGATGAATGTATTTTTTGCTTTGCTATGATCGATTAAACATTAGAACATTATTAACCTTTGCCTAACTTCAAGGGTATACATACTTCGACTACTCGAAACTAGTTTTTGATATAATACTGAGTGCAATATTTTTGATATAATACCGAGTGCAATATTTGTATTGACTTGCCATATTAGTATTTTTATGTTGATAGAAATTTCTCTTTATTTTTTCCTTGATATAATTTTCTATCCTATTTTCTATTTCCTATAATCTCCTCGATATATTGCTGATTAGGAATGTAAATTTACTCCGTAAGTTCAAATAAACCCTTCACAGACACACTCCCATTTCTAATATCCTTGTGCCCTATATGAAAACCTACCTGCAAATAAAAATAAATATAAATGCTAAGCACTTTGCTGTCACACGAGGTGTAAAAGGTGTATGTTTGTGTGTGTGTACGATGGGTGTGTTTTTGTGCCCAATTAGAGGATTGCCGACCTCAAAATCAGCGGGGCATACCGATGGCATTGGTAGCCGCAAAAAGCAACGCTGACGGCAGTTCCTAATTGAAGGTTTTGCATTTTGCGTTTGTTTTTCCTGTCTGCATTGCGCCTGGCTGCATTTTTGTGGGTGGGAAGGGGAGGAAAATCTCTCTTCCCAGCCAGCCCACTTTCGGCTTTTGGCAAAACTTGCAACTTGAGCATTAAACATAATTAGTGGGCATGTGGGTAACCGGCAGCAGGCAGGGAGTGTGGAACTAGCATCGGCAACCGATTCACGAAAACCAAATTAATTTCAAATAATGCCCTCGACTATCAATAACACCCCAAAAAGCAGCAGTAGCAGTAGCAGTTGCAGTTGCAGCAGCAAGTACTGCGAAATTCCATTACAAAATTGCCACCCAAAAATATGGGAATCTATCGAAAACCAAACCAAGGGAGAGAGGCAAGGCAAACCCAAATGCCTGAAAGGCCAACAGTTTCGAGTTGCAACACTTTAAGTGCAATTCCCATAATCAAAGACCGCACCGAAATCCGAAAGCCAGCGAAAAAAAGTAATAATAATGCCAAAGAAATGACGAGGTTACACATAAAAACAGTGTGAAAATTTGGTGAGAAAATTAAGGAGAACTAGGAAATGCTCTAAGGTTAAGTATATATAAATAATAAAAAAATTAGAATGAAAATTAAATGAATATAGGAAAATTGTGGCATTTTTAGCTTAATTTTATAGATTATGCTAATCATGAGATATAAATCTAGAAATTACTCCGTTTTCTGATTTTTTGTTTATTTTATTAGACTTCGAAATACAAGAAAAATAAATATTTATACATTTTTAAAAATGCTTTAAACATTTATTTAACATATATGATCTCGAAAATTAATATACTTATAATTTATATCTCTTGTTATTAAATTGAGTGGCAACCCTGAGCGAATAAATGTAACAAAACAAATATAATTGAAATCAAAGCCATAAAAATGACCATAAATAAATATTAAAACATTAAAAATTCTTTCAGAAATTATGGTGGTATGTAAATATATATATCTTCCTTGACTTTATATTTATTTTACCATAAACATCAAAAAGTGTGACCGTATCTCACACATCTGGCAACTCTTCTCATACATTTTTCTTAAATAAGTAAAAGTATTTCCAAAATTAAGTCAAAATGTCAACCTTTGTCACAAAATCAATCAACTCTACTCACTATAAAAACCTGTTGGGATTAAGGTATATCGAATTTTGGCCCTTAGAACCCATAGAATCTTGAGCATACAAAAAAATATATATATATCTATAAAAACGGACGAATGACTGAAAAATCGGAAGTGCATTTTGCCAAGATCTGGCCATAAAGGCATGAGGCACGGCGTCCAGAATGCACTTAACGCTTTCATTGTAAGGACACATAAAAAGGATTATTGTGCAAATTCAATATTAATGTGGTCGCTGGAATCGCCGATGACGATTGCAAATTGCAAATGCAACGAGGATAGTGATAGTGAAGATGATGATGGGGACGATGATGATGGAGATGAGGATGAGGATGAGGCTGCTGGGCACCTAACCAAATTGAGCTGGCAAAATTATGCAGGGGCGTGAATCGAATCGAATCTCTACTTGGCGGTCAGTTTAAGTGCGGAGCTTAGATGACAAGGCTCGGCATTGAATTGAAATTGAAATTTGCGCTTGGATTCGACAGGAGTTTTCAGGCTTTTCATATTCCTCTGGTTTTTTTTATACTTTTCTTATTATTCTCCCGCACTTTTCCGGACTTTATTGAACGGCATATTTCAAAAGGCGCGTTTCCGCAAAATGGGTGCAAATCAACTGCAAAACGAACTTTCGGCCCCTTTTCTCTCTCTCTCGTCTGAATTATGAAGTAAAAATATTATTGCAAATATAATGAATGTGCGGGAGAAGTGTAGAGATGCTGGAGAAATGGAGCTAAAGCAAATCATAAATTTCTATCTTGGACCAAGTTTCTCTCAAAGAAATAAAGAAAGGGAAAGATGGAAATAATAGGGAATTGGGGGAGGAAATAAAAGTGTAAAGCATTGTGAAATTTATGCTTTTTTTTTGCCATATTGCTGAATCGTCGATTACCTATCGCATTTCAAGGCAAATTGCTTGTCAAAAAATATGCCACCAAAGAAAAGGTTTTTCCACAAAGAAATAAATCCATAGATGCAACATATATATACGATATATCAACACGACATATATCATTAATCGATATTCTGTGTGATATATCGGAGTTTGCCAAAGAAAATTCTAAACTTGGCTTTAACATTCTTTTTTGACAATCAAAAAATTTCCTTTAAATATAAAAAAGAAATTGTTAAGAAAGAAATACAATGGCTATTTTTATATTTGTTTTCTTTACTATAGATATTTTTACATGAAATTCGATATTCTTCGATTATTTCTATTTCAATAAATGAAATTTAAGCCATTTTCGATATAATATTAAGTGTAGTGTTTTTATTAGACTATTCTTATCAATAAACATCCCTCTATATAATATAGTCTGTATAATTTTCTTGCTATAATTTCCTCAATATTATGTCTTTGATATAATTTTCTTCGATATACTTTTATCGATATAATTTTCTTTGATATAGTTTCTTCGATATACTTTCATCGATATAATTTTCTTCGATATAGTTTCTTCGATATACTTTCATCGATATAGTTTCTTCGACATAATTTCCTCGATAAACATAAATCCCCCGATAACCCTCCTTAAATGCCCCATTAAAGCGACCACATGTGTTTAATAGAATATATCCTGAAATTTAGAAAGGACGAATCTATACAGAGACATACACACATGCGGATGGCAAACAGAGGATGAAAAGTGCTAGAATATTTCCTCGGCGCCAACGACCCTTTTGGGTGCACCCCTCTGCTTTTGCTTTTGCTTTTCCTACTGCTCCTGCTTCTGCTTCTGTGTGCGTTGATAATTTTTGCCTAATGCGACTCAAGTTTGCACTTTAGTCTTTCAGCAAATATGGCAGCTCCTGAGGCAAGGATGCAGGCGGGAAAACTCCAGGGGGGAGGAGGAGGAGTAGGAGCATTCTGGGGCGGAAGGAGGCCACAAGTTTCCTTCGTCGCTGCTCTGGCAAATTTGCATAGCTCAGTTGCTCAATCGCAGCGACAATTGAGCGGCTCATTGATTGCACCACCCCATTGGCCTCTCTCTCCCCCCAAACATTTTCCATTTCCCATTTTCCATCCCCTTTCACACTTTTTCCCCCATTTGCTGCCACTCGCCATCTCACCACTTATCCCAGCCAAAGTTTTTGTTGACACTGTGTGCCATCTTTTCATTTCATTTTCGCAAATCAAACTCGATTCGCATTCAAATTGAGCAAAAGCGGTGGTTTTTTTTTCTTTATCAAATGCCTCTTTTCTTATTTTCCTATTTTCTTTTTTATTCCTTATTTTTGCCTTGATTTATGGCCAAGAAAAATTTAAAGAGTTTTGACAATAATAATAATTATGTTAATGAATTGGTTTCAAGGGGTCTACAATTTTAAATTCAATTTATTTAGAGGTATATTTCAAAGTTGAATGACCATTTTTTTACTATTTTCTGTAAAGCTTTTCTTATGGCTAACTTAAACAGCTCATTTTTATTTTATATAGAAAAGAAATCCGACTTGTAATATTTTAGAGCGTTAATTATAATTATACCTTTTTAGAATATTTTAAATTTAGTGAGAATCTCAAAATTAAGTGAAGGAGTCGTTTTCGACCCTATAAATTATATATATTATTGATCAGCATTAAAAGCCGAGTTGATCTAGCTATCTTTGGGCGAAAAATAATTTTTTTAAATTTTTTTCAACATTTTTTAAGGGGTTTCATCAATAAAATTGTCAAAAATTTTATAAAAAATTTTAATTTCTTTAAATATTGATTCGAGCCTGCAGATTTATTAACCTAATAAAAACTAGCCTAAAACTTTTTCCGAATTAAAATTAATGTATTTTTTGCTTAGTTATGAGTTTTTTACATTTTGATTTTTTGATAAAATTGTCATATAAAATATAGTTAATATCGATTAAAATGTGAATATTTCAGGCTTAGTTATGATTGATTTTCCATTGCATTCAAACTCAAACTGCAAGGGTTTATAAATTTCAGCTTCCCGAAGTTAGTTTTCCTTAAAAAGGTTCCTAATTATTTTTCTTGCTTCAAATAAATTTGAAAATACAACAAATAGATATATAAAAAATCACAAATTAAAGAAATCACAATCCAGAACAGACCCCCCAACTAAACCCCGATAAGATAAGACCGAATAAACTTACTCAATTAGTTAGAACAAAATTCCCAAGATATTTTTTTAATATACTGTGTCATTGTCCAATTAACCAGCCACTTGTAGATATCACAATAACTATCCAGTCAGTATAGAGTTTCGATTTCATAATAAAAAGGTATGACTGAATTGCCCAACGAAATCAGTTTGAACCCATTTTCTGTTGCAATAACACATCGTCAATAACAGCGACGACGACAATTGTCATCAGAATGAAATTCTTTACACTTTTGGTGGCGGCCCTTGTGGTCTTGGCCTGTGCCCTGCCCAGAATTCATGCTGGGAATAATTACCTCTGGGGTGAGATCGGTAACAATGACTACAAGTTGGCCAAAGATACCGTCTCGAAGGCCTTCTTCGTGGGTCTGGTACAGACCAAAAAGTACACATTCAAGCAATCGGTATGTAAACATTTAAAAATGAACTATAAAATGATAACAAAATTAAAAATTCAAATATAAAATATGTTTCTTAAGGACAATTTGAATGCCTTGACCATAACGGCCATCAGAATTACGGATAAAAGAAGAGTAATGGTGCCACAGCTGAGCTAATTAGCGGCGGTCCGGGCTCAAAGGGTGCCACCATTAAGTTTACATCGGTCCGGGGCTATGGCATCAAAGATCTTGTCGAGATATGGGGCCGTTAATCAAGTGGAAAACATATACTTTCACTTTCCCTTTTCCCCCCATCCAAATCGATGAAGATAGCAACAAACAAAAAGAAGGAAAAAAAAGCAAAGAAAAGGTCTAGTTGGAAGTGTATGTATATTTTTTTTTTTTTTGTCAAAATGTAAACCTTCTTGTCTGACCAAGAAAAATAATTACAGGCTTTTGTTTGTTTGTTGTTTTATTTTGTTTTATTAAAAAAATTGATATATCTATAAATCTTTAAGGGGAAATCTATGGAAAACATATTTTTTAGGCTGTCCTTAATAAGAAATACATGAAAAAGTATTAAATAATATTTCATTGATTTTAAAAATTTAGTTTAAATAAATCTTTAAAAGGGAAATATATGGAAAACATAATTTGTAGGCTTTTCTACCTAATAAATAAATGAATAATAATGAAATGTATAACAAAATTATCAGGAAAATATTCTTTTGGGCTCTGTAGGTTGAAAAATAAACCGAAAGTCAATTGGAAAAATATTTTAAAATTTTTGTATATACAAAAAATATTATTATAATAATATACCTCAAAGAAACTTTTTATTACATATTTTCTAGGCTTTAAATAAATAAAATGCTTCCTGGAATATTTATTTAAGAGTAATTGTTTACTCAAAAGATTAATAACAAAACTTGTTATAAAAAATACTTTTGTACATTTTATACGCCTAAAAAATATAAAATGTCTGCCTAAAAGGTATAGAAAGTTTTCCTAAAAGATAAAGAAAGTCTGCTTAGAATATTGTAAAATTTTTGTATATAAAAAATTATACTTAAAACTCCTAAAAGATATTCTTATAGATTTTCTAGGTTTTAAAATAATAGAACTTCAGCTTAAAAAGTGTTTTAAAAATATGTTTATAGCAAAAATTAATAACAAACTTCTGGGAAAAATATTATTGTTTATTTTTAGAGGCCTAAAAGTCAGCTTTAAGAATGTTAATTAACATCAGAACTTTCACATAAATATTCGTAAAGATTCGCTAGGCTTACAAAATACAGAAATAATAATTCAAATATTTTACAAATATTTACAAATATTTCTGTACTCAAAAATGAATGTCAAAACTTAAAGATAAATGTTCTTGTAAATTTTTTCTTATAGAATATTTTCTTAAATCATATTTAAAAATATTTCTACACTTTAAAAGTGATTAACAAAAGCCCCATTGAAATATCCCAAGACATTTTCCCGTCTTAAATGAACCAAAAACCCTGCTAGAAGAGTATTTAAACGTCGACTTGATCGCATCTTTGTAACTCTGTAATATATGCTGTAAACATAAGGGCTTCTTCTGGCCAAGATATATTGTATATATATTCTGGCAGCAGCTTGTCTGAGATATGCTCGAGAGATGCTTGTGCAGGTGTTATTTTTTGTTGTCTTCTTATCGAAGTAGGTCAAACCAAACAACTTGGAGGTTGCAACCAAAAAATACCAGATATGCAACTCTCGGAGTTTGCTCACCTATAAAAGCGAAAGCTACTTTAGTTATAACCAACAGTCAACATTTATTGATCAACCATCGAAGATGTATCTGCCCAGTGTTTTCTTCCTGCTCGTTGCCATTGTGGCCAACAATTTTGGCCAAATCGAGGCACTTGGTGGTGGCACCCAGGAGGGCAATGACTATACGTGGGGAACCAAGGCGACTACCGATACACTAATTGCCCGGGAAGTGGTTTCCGCCAATAAAATGATGCTGCAAACCAATACGAGGACATATACACTTACCCAGGCGGGTACGGCCAAGACTATATCGTATATAGCCATAACGGATCTGAAGCGTAAGAGGGGAGCAACGGCAGCCATAACTGCAGGTGGAGTTGGTGACACAACGGTGACAATTAAGTTTACATCGGCACGAGGAGCTAGCATTAAGTCGCAGGTGGAAATATGGGGAGCCTAAATGAACTGCTCCCTGTATATAATTATTTTATTTATTTAGAAAAAATCACACACAACGAGCAATTTTTTTTTTTTGTCCTTAATTCTGTAGCACACCTTTTTTAACTATTTTATTGGAACATTTTTTTTTTCTTTTAAATATGATAAATAAAAAGAAATAAAATAAGATTTGAAAAAAGGGAATTTCTTTATAAAGAGGAGCAGAAAATTCCTTTTGCTGGCAGGATATATATATATATTATATTATATAAAATCCCCCAGAGAAGTTGAGAAGCCAGGGCACACGCGTCGTATGCGTGTTTTGTGATGAGAAATCAAAGAAACTTTTTGGCATGCACAAATTAACCGCTTGTTTGCGGTTAATTGAGATGATATTAATTATAATTATGCCCGCGTCTCTCGCACACAGATACAGGAAACAGACACCCCACACACACAACACTCCACACACACTCCACACACACTGCACACACTCTGAACACACTCCCCCCATAGATAAAGATTCAGTTAGCAAATGGAATTATTTTCGGGGAAAGGGAAGCTCGCATTCGCTGTGCGAACACATGTAAGCGCTAATAACACTTAAATAAGCACCGCCAAAGCCCACAAACACACACTTATACTCACACTTATACACACACACACACACCAGCAGTGTTGGCATTTTAACTCGATTTTGTGGCTAGTTTATGGCCAAATTTATACAGCTATTTAGCTTTATTTTATATCCTTTTAAAGGATTATTGAAAAAAAAGGTATACAAAAAGAAATATCGATATATTGCTACTAAATTAATCATTTATTTGAAAGCCACTATAAAAAACGATATTTTAATATTGCAATAAATCGATTTTGACGTTAATATTTACAATTTTTATTCGTATTAAATATAATTTTACAAAATAGGTACATAAAAAAATTATGAAGACCATTTCTAGTCTAGTTTACCTCTAAAATCAATATTTTTACTTTAATTCAATATTTTTCTATAATGCAATTTTCGTTAAATTAATCCATGATTTTTTTTTCTTTAGTGATTGTCATTTTTAGATAGATTTTAGTTCGTTTTACAAAAATAGGAAACCAAAAAATATAAGTGAGGACCATTTCTAGTCTAGTTTACCTCTAAAGTCAATATTTTGACTTTAAATTTTATACTTTTCAATAGTTTACATTTCTAAAAATCAATTCACGATATTTTCTTTATTGATTGTCATTTTTATTAAGTTTTTTTTAGCAAATTTTTAAAATATTTTAACTAAAATAAGGAACACGAACATATTATATTGAATTTTTGGTATTTTTCCAATAATATCTATATATTAAAGCTAAATCTATAATTTTTCAATATTTTTAAGTTCTATAAACTATTTTAAATATTAATATAAATATAATTACGGATTTTTTGGCAATATTTTGATTGTGCTGTACTTTTTTCTTTAAAATATAAATCTTTGTAAATTTATTTATTTATTTTCTTGTATTATATTTAATTAATTTTTTCAACTTAAATCTTTCATAAATTAAGGCAACACTGCCACACATACAGACATAAATACAAACACCCATACACACATAACACCCACACACACATAACACCCACACACACACACACACACAGAACGAATGGCAAGGACAAACATACATTTCAATTTCGAAATTAAGTGGCTCACTTGTCTTGTTTGTATTGGAATGCGTATGTATTTGGCAGTATGTGTGTGTGTTGTGTGTGTGTTGTGTGTGTGTGTGTGTGTGTGTGTGTGTATGAATGTGCCTTTGTGTGTGTGTTGATGCATCTGCTTGATTGTGTGTGGATTTGTTTGTTTGTTTGTCTGTGCGATTTGCGTATTTGTATGTATGTCATACATCCGCTTTTGCATTCAACTTATGTTTGGTTTGTGCTCATTTCTTTTTATTTTCGCTAAGCTTATACTCTGCAGGAAGAGGATATAGATTGGGAATACAAAAATATGTATAAAAAATATGAAAGTATAGGATTAAAAAACAACATGTCTAAAATAACCCAAAGTTGGCAAATAATTTGAAATAAAAACAGAAGATGAGACTAACCCATCGAAAACTAAGTCTAGTATTAAGCAGTTTAATTTTTTATATCTATTTATATATCTAAATACTTTATTTTTTTATTAGATAAGTAAAAATAAATAAATAAGTTATTTTAATCAGTTTTGAATGATGAAAACTACTTGTTTAAACTTTAAGAAATAATTTTAACATATTTCTTTTAGTTTTACTTTTAAATCTATAATTTATCGCAGATTTACAGAAGAGTATTATTATTATTTCCCTCATTTTTTCAGTTTTGCTGCATTTGCAGCGTGTCTCCTGTTATTATAATTATTATAATTATTATTATTGTGCAAGGGAAACCACAAACTAATGTACATGGAAAACTGTCTGTCAATTTGCCGTAGGAAAAATCGGGGCCACGAGTCAAAGGCCAAGCGAGGAGGGGTAGAAAATCAGCAGAATACAAATATATACAGATATATATTAATATATACATTAACCGATTTTTTTTTTTGCATTTGAAAATGAAAACCAAAATGTGGGTAAAGGAAAATATTAAACAAATCATTAAAGCTTATGAACATAAGCGCATTTTACACGATTAATATGGAAATTAAGCTCAGGGCAAGTGAATTTGGTTAATTAAATTGGAGGAAAAAATAGCAGGAAATAATTGTAAGCTAAAAAGAATATAATAAAATATTTAAAAATAAATATAGGAATAATATTTAATTCTAAAATGATTTAATAAAACAGGAAGAATTAAATCTTACATTTATTTACTGAAAAGAACTCTCTTGATAAAAGGCCAAAGGACCTTAGAGCTTAGGTGTTTTGATTTTTATTTTTTTGTCCCATTTTGTGAAAGAAGTTTTATGAGTTTTCCAGGGGGGTTTTCCCCCTATTTTCCCCACTATATTGGCGATGGCGATTTACACCATGCAGCGCATAACTCTTGGCCAAATAAACAAAGCGTAGTTATTAAACAGGATATTCGAATCAACAGGAACACCAGCAGTAACAGTAACAGTAACAGTAACAACAAGAAGGACAAAGGACGAAGGACACTGGACAATGAACAACAGATGGCAAAAAGTACAAGAGCACAATTTCCTTATGCAAAGCGACGATAAGAGCCAAACCGAATGCAAATACATAGATTTATAGCCACAGAACACGATGAGGCTGGTGAGGGAAAACCAGAGGAGAACGAGAGAGAGAGAGTTTTCCGGAAAATACTGAATCCAGAGGAATATATGTGCTATACATGTACTCTTCCAATATACATATATAAAGATATATATATATATATATAAGCCAAGCTAAAGCTGAAGCCGATCCACAGCTGCCATAGCCCCAGTTCTGTGTCGTAAAAATAAAAGCTGTCAATGCACTTGAAATTTATCGCCCTGCAAATTAACACTTAAATGCAAATGGCAAAAAATGGAGACCAACAAGTAGTACTCAGAGTAAAGGATTCGACTGTTTAATATCCTGGAAAAAATGTAGAAAATTTCAGTAAAAAGAAACCTAGTTTTCAAAAAGATTTTTGCACTTGAAATTTATCGCCCTGCAAATTAACACTTAAATGCAAAAGGCAAAAAATGGAGACCAACAAGTAGTACTCAGAGTAAAGGATTCGACGATTAAATATCCTAAGAAAAATGCAGAAAATTTCAGTAAAAAGAAACCTAGTTTTCAAAAAGATTTTACTAACAAAATACATCGTCAAATTGAATTAAATCAAAAATTGGACAGCAAAAAGTAGCCTTAAATACTATATAAAAAGTTTATCCTTTAGGTACATATAGTACTAGAATATATACCCGAAAATACCCTATAAAAAGTACCCTCTCTCTTACCTTTTCGGCCTCCAAGCCGCCGGGTATCTGAGTGCCGTCCTTGGAGCAAAAGCAATAGGGCAAGGAACACTCCTCCGTGTTGCACCTTTGGGCGGTATCGGCAGGTGCTTCCGTGGCCGGAGCGGGCGCTAAAAAAAAATACAAAAAAAAAAAAATAAGTAAGAGAGAAAAGGAAACAAGTTGGGAAATTATTTAAAATCTATTTCGTTATGCGAGATCCAATCCGTTTCAGGGGAAGCCAAGTAACAATGCCAGGCAAATATCAATAAGGAGGAGGAGCAGAGGCAATGCCAATCCCAGAAACAAGTTAAAAGAAAGTTAACAACAAAAGGGGGTAAAGGTGAAAGAGGGGGAGAGGGGAAGGTAGGGACAACAAGGGGAAAAAGTCAGAAGGGGGTGAGGTCTTCGCAGGTAAATAACCTTAAGCCAAATCCCGAGAACACTCTTTCTCTCTCTCGGTCAAAAGCTATTTGCATATGTGGGCGTGGCAACTGAGAGACACTGGGAAAAATTGAAAGCTAAAAAAAATATACCTTAGTAATATAATATTTAAGATATGTTACATTATTTTGATAAGCTAATTTTTGGGGTAAATCAAAAATTTTCCAATATCATAAGTAAGCCAAAAATGCATTAATTTCAATTCGGTTTCCTGTCCTAAGCTAGTTTTGAAAAGATTAACAAATCTGCATATTAGGTTTTACAATTTAAAAAATTCAAATTTTTTGTAAAATTTTTATCAGATTTTACCCTAAAAAATTTTGAAAAAAAATTCGAAAATTTATTTTTCCACCAGACATAACTAGTTCGACTCGGCTGATGATGCTGATCAAGAATATATATGATTTATAGGATCGGAAATGACTCCTTCACTTAGTTTTAAGCTTCTGACTGAAGGTGCAATACCATTTTTTAACCAATATTAACTAATTTTTTTTAAGAACATTTTTTCGACAATCCAAACTGTAAAATCTCATAACTAAGCCAAAAATGCATTAATTTCAATTCGGATTACTGTTCTAATTTTGAAAAGGTTAACAAATCTGCATATTAGGTTTTAAAATTTAGAAAATTCAATTTTTGGTCAACATTTTTGTCAATTTTAACGATGAAACCTTTTGAAAAATTATGAAAAAATTTCGAAATTTTTTTTTCTTCCGTAAATGTCTAGATCGATTCTGCTTGTGATGCTGATCAAGAATATATATGATTTATAGGGTCGGAAATGATTACTTCACACAGTTTTAAGCTTTTGACTGAAATAATAACACCTTGAAATGGTATACAAATATAATAATCACTTTTTTATAAAAAATTTGCTATATAAATATAAAAATATAAATATAAAATATAAAATCAAAAAATTTTTGAGAAGATAAGCTTAAAAACTTAAGACAATAGTTTTATACAATTATTTTCATATATTTTTATTAAAAAAATACACTTTAAAAGTTAAGAATTTGCTTACAAATCTGCGTCTTAAGTAACAACATGAAATTATATTTTTTAAATAGAAATTATAATAATTTCCAAACTAACATTTTCTATTTGCGATATTTTCTATTTCTGTTTCCTAAATAACATTTTCTATTTGAGATATTTTCTATTGGTTATGAGGAATTTCTAATATACATATCTTCAAAAATAATGTACTTTTTCTTGAAGTAAACATTTTCTCCCAGTGCACTTGAGTTTTCCTGCCGAAATTCGATCGAATTGAATTGCTTTTTTATTTTTTTTTCTGTATTTTGTGCTCTACTGCGACGCCTCAGTCTCGATGGCAATCGAGTTGGTCGACTTGGAGTTGTTTTGCCTTGTGATCGAGTAAACAAAGTTCACACAGAGAACAAAGGTGAGAAGAGGAAGGAAGAGAGGTGGGGAGAGAGAGCCAACCCATATCCATATCCTTGGCAAATATTAAATGCATATCCTGGCAGGTCCTGTGACTGTGCAACTTGCACTAACTGAATTAGCACTCGCCAAAGGCGTCGATTTGATTTGATTTGGATTTTGGAGTCTGCTTCTGATTTTCGATTTTGATGGCTGAAAGCCAAAGATTACAGGAGAGGCGGGGTTAAATGTAGGTAATCAGGGTGAAGGACTTTAAGATTGATATACTTTTTACCTTGATAAAATGTTGTATTTAAATATTAATTGAACTGGAAATGGAGTGACTTATCTTCTAATTCCCATAAACAATTAATCAAAGGCTTTGTTAAGCTCTAGAAAATGTCACTAGATTTATATATATATATTTATATAAAATAGTCAAATCATTTCCCTTTCTTTTTTGGTACAAATTATGTCATCGATGGCTTCTAGTTATTTTGGTAAACATTTCCCTAATTCCCAGGGCGCCACATCATCAATCAATGGAAATTGCCATTTCCATTTTCATTTCCTATCCCCCAAACTCTTTTCTTATTTTTCCTCCCCAATCCATAGAGTTAAGCCAGTGAAAAGTGTGTGTTTTTTGGAGTGTGAAAGAAAACTCAACTCTGTCTAAAGTTTCCATTTCGATTAAGCCTATCGACAATGCTTAACTGGGATTTAATTACACACAGCTTCAATGTTATGCAAATGAAATAAACCAAGGCGAAAGAGAAATATATAAATATAAATATAAATATATATATATATATTTATATTTATAGTAACTATGTCCTGCAGTTGGCATTGATTATTCCGCATCCTCCCTCGCCTGTTACCTTGGCTTTATTTATAAAGTAAATATAAAAAAAAAATCAAAATAAAAAGAATATGAGGCATATATTAATATATTTCCGTTTGCTAGAAAATATCAACAAAAACAAAAGTTAAATAAAATAAAAGCTTGTGGCCATATCAATGTCCTTTTGCAAAATATATATTTATATCATATATATATATATATATATGTATATATATTTTTGTGGTCACATCGTAAATAACGGCAATGAAAATGAAATGCTTGGCAATTAATTGGCCAGGACACAGGAGTACTGCAATCAACATAAATTCTCTGTGGAAACGAAACGAAATGGTGTCCTTCTGCAGCATAAAATTGTATTTATTATTTTAAAAATCTAAACAAGAAACTGGAAGAATTTCAAACACACACACTCAGGGAGATCTCTCTTCCTCTGTGTGGAGTTATTGAATAAAATGTAATAAACACTTTTAGTAACTTTGTCTTGTGCCATGGTACATTTTGTCGTAACGACTGGCACACGCTGCGTATACGTAATATTTGGGACAAATACACACAATGTCACACATATATGTATATAGTAGTTTTTCCCATAGTTGTTTGTATATATATATATATATATATATTTATTTTTCCATGGCTATTTTCTTGCTGGGTGTTGTTGTTGTGTAAGCAATATTGAAATGCTGTCATTGAGCGTGCTCACTGAATTATGAAATTGAAAACTATTCAGTGCAAAACATTTTTCTTTTGCATTTTATCAGCTCAGCTGTGCGGCAGTATGTGTGTGTGGAAAATCAGCTTGTCATTTCCTTGTCAAGTATTTTAACCCTTTACATAAAAAAAAAAATAAATAAATAAAGAAGAAGGAAGGAGTCTGTCTGTATTATAAAACAATTCTAGAGAGTGTTTGAGTGAAATGTTACAAAAAGGGCAGAGACATTTTTATTTCTTCTTAAAAATTAAAGGAAAAATGCTTAACTAATTAGAGTTACTATAGAAAATATTTAAGAATATATTTTGAAGAATATTTTCTATATAGATTCAGACATGTTTTGAAGCAAGAAATGAGTTTAAATAATTTTTAATTATATTAAAAACTAAAAATCCTTTATTTATGTAAAGAATAATATATATATTCCCATCATTTGATTTATAAATAAATTATCAAACTAAATCTAGGGTTAAATTTTTGTCAAGGAAGAAAAAAAAACGTTTTAAATATTTTAATTCGTGTCTCGCCTTGGCCAAATCAAATCGAAATGAAATGAAATGAATTCGCATTTATATGCACAATGTATTGCATATATTTTCGGGACAAAAACACACACAACACACACACACTCACACATGTCTCTGTGTACTGTGTGTGTGTATGCCCAACCAGTTTTGTTGGTTGCTTATTTATTTTTGGGGACAAGTTGCTGTCACAATTTCAAATTCAGTTGAGACTCCAGCCATTGCGTATACGTAATGTCTACGTATACGCAATTCGTCAGTTGAGATTTTCAGAGAAATGGTTTTGTGAAGGAAGAAGGAAGTCCTTCCTTGGCAGAGCTCTTAATCCTCGGCCGGCTTAGGCAGCTGGCAGATGGTTGCAAAATTAAAGTGCCAGTGACGATTATAGGCAATCAGTTAGTTAGTTCAGTGCTTCACTCATTCTGATGAAATTGCTTTAAATTATATAATGAAATACATGTGCAAAATGGTCTAGGTGGGATTTAATGGATAGTCAGACTTGAGAGATACAGGATTGAGGAGAGTATATGCCTGAATGAGTCAGTATTTTAGCTAGGGGATTTTGTGCCATGAATATATATACATAGATAATGTACCGAGAGGCAATGTCATTGCTATCGTTTCTATTTTAAAAAGCCGCATTTCTTATGAAAACAATTTACTAAGTAAGGAATAAAGTGTCTTGCACAGATTTTTATCCTGTCTACCGAATAAGCTTGATTATCGTTATCGAAATTGTAATCGAAGCAGCAGTGTGACCGCATATTATTAAAACTTGCAAGCTGGTAACACTGTAAGTCACTTGAAGACTCTTTTTACTTAGTTTTTAGAGGGTTTTTATTTGTTTCAAAGCTCGTAGTATTTTCCTATAAATAATACTTTTTCTTTTAACAATTTGTCACTACAGATACATATGTATATATAACCCCTTTGTGCCAACAAATTGCCAAATGGTCGAAAGATGGCAACGTGTTATATTGGCTTAGCTGTTGGCCATTTCCTGTGGTCCCAGCAAGAAGGCAAAAAGCGTAGTATCTGATTCCCAAAAAATATATATATATATGTACGCATGTAGGGAAAACTACTATACCTATATATATATATATGTATCTATATATGTATCTATATCTGGTGTCAGCAGAAAAAAAAGAAAGTACCAAAAAACGAAGCGGGACAAAAATTTTATGCACAGAGCTTTGACCTAATCTCTGCTGCAATATTTCTCCTCGTCCGCTCTCCCCGTGTGAGTCTGTGTGTGTGCGAAGAAAAGTAATAACATAAATGACACACACACACTGAAAAAAAATATATATATATTAAAAAATTAAAGCGGAAAAACCAAGGTTTTTATGTTAAAAAAGTAAATATTGAAGTAAGAGAAAGGTCAAAACAGTATATAAAAAATTATTGAAAAGTATTGAGCTGGTCTTTATTATATTTTTGGAGAATACAGAAAATATTTTTAAACATTTTTTATATTCAAATTAAAGGTTTAAATAGTTTTTTAAGGATCAATATTAAATTTACTTATAACGTGAATATTTAAAGAAAAAAATATTTTGAAAACTGATTAATTTAATTACAAAAATAAATTACAAGTTAAATTGTTAATTGTTAAAATTGTTAAACAATTTTTTTTAAATATATGTGAGGGAGTTATTAAAAAAAAATCATAACAAAAATTTAATCTATTTTAACAATTTCTTCAGTACTAAAGGTGAAAGGGTTCTATTTTATATTTTTCGTACTTCAATCTTATTAAAAACCTCAAGTTACTTTAGTTTATGAATTAAATTTTACAAAATTAATTTCTAGTTTACATTTTAATTACATTTTTCTCTGTGTACCAGAGAGTGAGCGAGAAAGAGAGCCATCGCGAGGAGCTATTTATATGAGACAACATTCCAGTTGGTATTACGCAAATCCCCAAACGCTTTAGCTGTCGCAGCTTTCTTCCAAGCGGTTGCCTTCCGACCAACGACCGACGGACCGACGGACCGGGATCAGCTTCCGTATACCCCTTGCACCGCACACTTTCCCTCCCTAAGCCACCTAAAACCCTATTCCAAAAGTCCCCGAAAAACTCCCGGAAAACTCCCCAAAAACTCCCCAACTCTGACTCTGACTCCAAAAGCGAAATGGTGACTACTGCAAAAGTGCGTGTTTGCAGGCGAGCGATATGTCACTCTGCATATGCCCACTGCATGTGTGTGCGAGTGTGTGTGTGTAGTTTTTTTACTAACTTCCCTTGTCCCAAACCCCTCCCCCTTACAAAAAACCCATCCTTAAAAAAAACCCATCTTCCCACTAAAACACTCCCCCTTTTTTTGGTGCATTTAATTCTGAGCTCGTTTCTGCTGCATTTTTGGTCTTTTGTTGGCTACACTTAACGAAATTAGTGTTGATTTTGAGGGTAATTTCTGCCTAAATTAAAAAGAAAAACTATCACTTTTTCCTAATTTAATTGTATTCCATTAAATATATTTTAAATATTTTTGTGCATACCTATTATAAGGCTATGTTTAATATCAATTTGTTGTCTAATTTTGCTTTAACCTGAAGTTAAATTCTTTTTATTTAAAAAAAAAAAATACTTTAATTCTTTGAATGTGTATTTTAAAATGTTCTATTATTTAATTCATGGTTTAATAATGATTTTATATATATTTTTTTTTTAATATTTATCTAGACTTTCATATTCTATATTTTAAAAGTAACATATTTATTCCATAATAATATTTTTTTTGTGGTTAATTATGTTTTGACTTTGAAAAACTCTTTTAGAAAATATTAATATTTATTGATATATTTTTATGTATGAAATATATTACTTTTATATTTTATCTATACTATTTAATATATATTATTTTTATATATTGTATTTTATATATTTTTATATATTGTATTTTATATATTTTTATATATTGTAAGTCAAGTGTATGCAAAAAAATGCCACTAAAAATGGGGAAAAAAATCTAGGAAAATGTCCCCAAGCTTTGAAGGTGCCCACGAAGTCAATGCAAAAGTCCAAAGACTGAGAGGTGAGGCTAAGAAGAAGCCGTTAAAACTGAAAACTAAATCGTAAATGTTGGCTTTAATGGCCCACACACACATCAACAGGAAGGGTGAAATAAATAAAGCGAAAAAAAAAGAGAAGTCGGATAATTTCTGAAATGATTTTAATAATAATCGAATTTAAACCTTTGTAAAAAGAAGAATTATAACAAATTCTCTTATATACTCAAAGTACTTTTTAATGGTTTAATTTATAATTTTTTTTTTAATTCTTTAGCTCCTATTCTTGTGTCTGCAATTGTAACTCTTCGAAAGAAACGAAAGATAGACTTGGTTATTCTTAAGCGGTCGCGTTTGTGCCCCATTTGAAGTGCACTCAATGCCGTCTGCCGGGTTTTGCCTCCTGGCATTTTCCAGGTCCTTCCCAAGCACTTGGCATTCATCTTGGCCACTGGCCACGCCCCCTTTCCTTGCCAAAGAAAGGTGGCCGCCCATCGTCGTTAGGCAAAGTCAATAGAGCGGACAATGTTTGGAATTGTGGAATTGTGGAGAGTCGTTCTTCCCCCGTGGGGAAGGAATGGTCACCATTTGCTCATTGCTTTTGCCATTGCTTTGGATTTCGTATTCGAATTCGAATTCGATTTTTGGTTTAGTGTACAAACTCACACACATGGGGATTACATGGGGAATTTTGCAACCATAAATGAATTATGCGACATTTACTCAAAATTGCTTCCTAATGCCCAACATCCGGGAGAGACAAATGTCCTGGGTGAAGGATTGTGCCAAGTAAGTGCACAGAAAAGTATACTACAATTTATACCCTTACAGGGTATCAGGAGCTTAAAAAGCAGAGAAGGAATTATTTCCGACCCTATAAATCGTATATATTCTTGATGAGAATGAACAGACGAGTCGATCTAGTTATGTTTTAGGGGAAATTTTTTTTCAAAATTTTTAAAGGGGTAACATCGTTAAAATTAAAAAAAAAAATTGATAAATATTTAAATTTTTTTACATTTTAAATAGAGTATAAAGATTTATTAACCTACTAAAAACTAACATGGGACAGCTTTCCGAATTGAAATTTATGCCTTTTTGGCTTAGTTATGAGATTTTTACGTTTCGACTTGTCCAAAAAATATTCACATAAAAATATTGTTCATATTAATTAAAAAATGGTATTTCACCTTCAGTCAGAAGCTTAAAAGTAAGTGAAGGAGACATTTCCGACCCTACAAATCATATATATTCTTGATCAGCATCAACAGGCGAGTCGATCTAGACAGGTTTTAAGGGAACAACATTTTTCGAAATTTTTTCATATTTTCTAAGGGGTAACATCGTTAAAATTAAAAAAAAAAAAATTGACAAAAATTTTAATTTTTTTGCATTTTAAATAGAGTATGCATATTTATTTACCTTTCAAAAACCAGCTCAGAACCTTTTTCCGAATTAAAATTTATGCATTTTTGGTTGAGTTATGAGATTTTAAAATTTTTGATTTGTTGAAAAAATTTTTATATAAATATCGATTGAAACTATGCGAATTTTAAGCTCTGTTTTGAAAGATTTTCAATGTAATTTCGTTTTAAACTTAAAGAATATATAAATTTCGAGTTCCCTTTTCTTGTTTGATATATTTTTCAAGTCAAAATAATTGATTTTATTCAATAATGAGTTATTTGATTTGTATAATACATTATTTCTTGTAAGTAAACCTTTGAAAAATATGATTAAATTAATATTACAATCCTCAGTATATAATTTGCAGTAAATAGTGCAACAGATGCTCCAATTTCCCTTGTAAAATTTCTATATTTAAATATATATTTTGATTTATATTTTCCCCTCTAAAAGAAAAATCTATTTGAAGCTCCTAATAAATTGTGTGTGTGACCTGCCTTAGCAGCCTTAGCCCCCGGCTATTGTTTCGGCTCAAAGTTCGCATTTATATTTTCAGTTTTTTGGGTTTTTTTTTTTTGGGAGTCTTGAAAACGTTTTGCAGACCCAGACAGATGATGATGATGACGATGGGAAGGAAAAGGGTATGGGAAAAGGGTTGCAGGGAAAACGAAAAGTAAAAAAGAAAAAGCAAAAACCTGAACCCGAAAGGACCACACACTTAGAGTGCACTTAAAGTTTTTACTCCATTTTCTTTGTTCGCTCTCCCTGATTTATGTTGCACTTTCAATTGGGAAAGAGAGCGAGAGAGAGAGAGAGAGAGGGAGAGAGAGAGAGAGAGTGTGGAAGTCCTTCTTTCCTAATCACTTACTTGTTGGCAAAGGACCGCACTTGGCCTCATCCTTGAAGGTGCAGAACTTTTGCAAATCATCGAAGAACAGTCCAGAGGGACAACGATTCAAATAGGGAAAACCATCAACGCACTGTAAAATTGAGGAGGGAGAGATAAGGGTTAATGTGTGAATGTCATAAGGCGCATAGATCTAGATCTAGATCTGGAAAGGGTTTCTCACCTGGTAAAAGCGACGGCAGGTAGCCGGATCAGCATAATTTCCATTGGCAATATGTGAGGGGCATTGGAACTCCTCCTTTTCCTTGCCTTGACCTGGGGTTAAATTATAAAAAATAATTATTTTGTTACTATAATTTATAAAACAATTTCGCAACAGAAAATTCGGAGTTTAAATATAACTTAGTCAACATTTTTAAAAGCAAGCAAAATATATATTTTTAAAGACAGTTTTTGAGGCTTCTTTAAAGCCCAGCAAGGTTTTGCTTTAAAAGAAAAGGTCCTAGCAAGTTCCTTGATTTTTAGGGGTTTAATATAAATCAATAATAAATTCTACAACATTTTTAATTATAATAATTTATAAGGTTTCCCTTGAAATTGATTTATTTATTATTTATTTTATAAACCCCTTTATAGAGTCAAGTTTTTTTTCCCCCCGTTGCATATTTAAATATCCGGCAATTAATTGCATAATAGACACAATACTGCTTGTAACCCATCAGATTTATATGTTTTATGCATATATACACACACAAATAAATACAAATTATAATCGCTTAATGTATATTTATGATGATGCATGTACTTTATCCTTCTGTTATTTTTTTCTCTCCTCCAGTTTATTTACATTATTTTTTTTTGTTTGTTGCATTTAAATCTAAGCTTAAAGGGTTTGGCGGCTTGACATTTATACAAAAGCCACCAGAGAGGAAAGAGGGGAGTTTTCCGCGATAAGCGAATGAAACCAATAAATAAATAAATAACAGATAAGTTATAATTAAATGTCGATTTACGTTTGATCAACGAATGCAACAAAAAAAATTAATATATATATGTGACAAAAAAAGGAAACCTGGAAATGCAGAAAAAAAAAAACAAAAATAACAAACAAAATATAATAAAAACCCAATTTATGCAAAATATTTCAAAAATTCATACTTCAAACTTTGCAACCAAATATGGCTGGCTGCGGCTTAGGACTAGTAGTTGCAACTATAATGAATATAAATTGACTAACGGCATTAGATTAACCGAAAGCAAAAACCAAATAGCAAAACAGCAAAAATAGTAAACAGTTCCCTGGAAAATGAGGGGAGGAAAATCGATGAGATATAGCGGCGATTATAATTACGCAAACTGCCGCTTCAAAAATTATTCATAAAACCCACTCTCAACATTCATTTTTCGGTGGGCGCCTAAATGTTAATTAAATGAAAACTATTATTAGACACAATTGCATTATGCCCACACACACACACACACACACACACTGGTGATATTATAATTATTATAATAATTATTTGTCAGTTTCTATGATTTCCCATGCCATGTGGCGTGCAATTAATTGATAGCTTAAACCAAATATCCAAAAACCCAAAATATTTCGTCATAAAATAAATATTTATGGTAAAGGGGAGGGAGAGATTATTGGCAGACAGGACAAATACAATAATATTTTCACAGTATTTGACTTTAAAATTTGTACAATAAAAAAAATGTCCATGGATTTTGTTGTTGCTTCATTAAAATTCATGAAATGCCAGACGGCAGAGATTGAGATACTTTTTCCAATCGGTTTATGAAGGGGAAATGTCTTGAGATAGATTTTTGCACATCATTTCATTTGGGTTATAAATATATTTATATTTGTGGAAATTTCATAGAATGAATGAATGAACACGTCTTGGAATTATTTTGCAAAAATTTGTTTCAAGCCTAAAGTGAAAGGTGTAAATATATTTTGTAATATTTTTATTATGATATACGTAAGCTATCAAAGAAGTGGGGCAGGAAAACTGTAGCCCAGGATTTTCCGAGTTGCCCCTTTTTTTTGAATATTTTTTTAAGGCTACTTTGTGATTTATTTTGTAAAAAAAAATATATGAAGGGAAACCGAAAGGTATACCTTTAAAGCCCTCTTTTATTACTCTCTTAACTTAAATTTTGTATTTTCAAACACAAATTCCAGAAAGTTTAAAATGTCCCCGGAAAAATGTTGCTTTTGGTCAATTTATGGTTATTTCTATATACATATATGTATATATATATATATATATATTTATATTGGGTCTATATATATATATATATATATATATATATAGACCCAATATAAATCTATTTATGGCCATGTGTATATTTATCCAATAATGGCAACAAACAATGACCACAATGCGGCTAAAGAGCAACAAAAATATCAGTTAATTTAAATATGTGGTGAGTGTGTGTAAAAAAAAGGAAAAATAGAAACAAAAACAAAACACAACAGCAACAACAACAAGCGGAATTAAATCAAAATGAAAATGTTAGTAAAAATTAAAAGAATTTATTAGAGAGAAAGAGAGAGTGTAGGGGAGGAAAACCTTTTTCCATATAATTATTATGGCTAATTAATATTTATTAACCAGCCGAGGCAGAAGCTCACATCCTAGAAATGTCCATAAACTGGCGCCCCGTTTGGGTGGCAAGCAAGGCAAGAAGTCCTTTGGCTAATGAGGCGATGTCCTTTAAGCGGCTTAAGGCCCTCTCTCTCTCTCTCTCTCTAACTCTCTCTCTGTCCCTCCAGTCTGCGCTCTTTCCCGTTTCTTCTATTGGCAACCAAAAACGCCTCCTTAAATGGCAGGAACAACTCAAGGGTCAGTCTTAGTTTTGTTCCAAGGAAGCTACTTATAAAGTTACCAGTTGCTAACTGAGGATATTAAGTCAAATGTTTCTTTAAAATTGATGAAATATATTCTTAAATTTTAATTTTTCTGTAGAAAAACAGAATTTAATCAAACACTCAAAAGGGAAAGAAGATATAGAACTTTTACCTCTACGTTATTTGTTATTAAAGATCTTTTACAATGTGAGCTTAGCTTTATCGTGTAATATCCTCTTTTAAAATGGGACTTTCGTTTATTTTTTAACACAATTCTTTGAAAACTTTTGGTAATTTATTGAAGTAATTAAAATTTCGCAGTACACATCTTTAAAAGAAAACAATATTTGTCAGCTAAGACAAGAAAAATAAATTATGTATTTCAGTTTATTTATTTCTAGTAAAGAGCCCTTAACAGAGTGACCTTAGCTTGATTATCTAAATATATTTTTGGCAGTGTGACCATTTTAGTAATTCAAATTTCAATTAAGCATTTCCTAAAGACTCTTATAGTTTCAAAAATATGAAAGAAAAACCCATTTTAAAAGCTTCAATATTAAAAAGAAAATTATTCCTTAACTCTTTTAAAAGCAATTTGCAATACTCCTTCTTTCAATTTTACACCATGTCAATTAATTCACCTTTTTATGCTGCGACGACGACGAACACGTAAAAAGACGCAAAAGTAACAATAATAATAAATTTATCGTACATTTATTTAAAAGTCATAAGGCCAATTACATGGAAAACGTTTTCTTTTTGTTCCCTCTTACATATATATATATATTATATTTTTTTTTGTCCTTTGCCCTTAATTAAGAAATTGCCAATGCGGAAAATAATAATTAAAATAAGCCCAGAACCGTTGCGTTCAAAAAGGATTCATTTCCTTTTCCCTCGCGCCACGCGACTCTTGCTTCGCACAAATTAAATGTGCCCGAGAAAATAAATAAAATTGAAGAACACAAAAACAGTAAAAACAAGAAATGAAAAACCATTTCAGCAAAAATGCCAGAGAAACCTGTGCGAAGAGCTGAAAAATCTTTATTTTATGCACATCATGCAATAACTTTAACGTTTCCTTGTTTCATTTTTACTGTGTGATTTTTATTTATTTATATATTTTTGTTGTTGTGTATACTTTTTCGCTGCTTTCCCTTGGCATTGTTTTTTACTTTGTGATTTTTACTTTTTCCCCCATTTTCCTGAGGTCATAATTTATTTAACATTTCTGCGGAAGCTTAAAATGAAAACGAGAAGGGGGCGAAGGGTGGCGAAAAATCGAATAGTTTGAAAATTTAATTCAATTTTTAGGGGACAAGCTAATTATATCCTTTTACAAGTGCATTCAAGTCTTTTGTTGTTTCAATTAATACAAATAAGCACTTTGGCATGTCAAAGATGGTGTGTCATTATATGATATGCATTTATTTTGTTGACTTTTCCATTGCCTTTGCCCTCGTAATTTGTTTACATTTCCATCTTTTTTTCTTATATTTCGCTATTTAATTTAATCGACGCTGAAAGGCAGCAAAGGAAATAAGTGTTTAAATAAAAATTCAGTTGGAAAACAATCAAATTAAATACAGTAAATTTTTCAAGATTTATGTGTGGATATTTAACTGCGAGGGGAGATGAAAATGTTTGAAAAATGTGTATACTTGTGTCTTAAAAAATAAAAATTAAACAGTTATCGAAATAATATTCTATCAAATGCCGGTATCTTAATTTTATTGAATATTTTATTAGCTTTTAATGGTAGTTAATAATTAATAAAAGCTAATGTATTAAAAAATGCATTATGAATTACTTTAGAAAAGAGAGTTAAGCTTTATTTTTCCATATTAAAAATGAGTGTCTCAGAAAATGCTGAACATAGTTTTCTATAATTTTAAATAAGACTTTAGGTTCCATTTCGGTTAAAACAAGTTGGAAATAAATGAAAAGCTGGAAATAATTTTATTATTTACTCTAGAAAGCTGAATTTAGTTTCGGTTTTTATAATAAAGAAAAAGGGGATTACCCTTTGAGAACCCGAAATTTATATACCATGGCAAAGTAAATCGGTCATAACTAAGCCAAAAATGCATGAAATTCCAATCGGAAATCAGTTTTGTACTAGTTTTTATTAGATTAACAAATCTGCATACTCTATTTAAAATGTAAAAAATTTAGATTTTTTCTTAATTTTTTTGTGGACAATTTTAGAGAAAAAAAAATCTAAAAAAATTTTAAAAAATTTATTTTTGCCGGAGATGGCTAGATCGATTGGGCTGTTGATTCTGATCAAGAATATATATGATATGTAGGGTCGGAAATGATTCCTTCACTTTATTTCAAGCTTCTGACTGAAATTACAATACCCTGCAAGGGTTTAAAAATCAGAATTTTAAATATGACCTTAGCTTCGATTTCCTGTTAAAACCACTTGGGAATTATAATAGAAATTCTACAAATAAGTAAAAATTCTTATATTCAGAGCTCTTTTGTTTTTTTCCCCTGACACACTTTCATTGAATTCCATCTCTGGAGATATTTATGTGCAGATATCTGGTATATATACATATATATATATATATATTCACTTAAAACATTTCCCATTCAGTTTCGCCCCGCTCCTTTTACCCTGCAACTTTGTAATTTTTGTTGTATTTTTTTGTTGCTTTTGTTGTTGTTTATCCGCTGGCATTTTCAAGTAATTTTTCACGCATTTCTGTGGCTGCTTTGCGCCTCATTTTTCACGCCAGTCCATGTGTCTCCCTGGGTGTGTGTGTGTGTGTTAAGCAGCTTAAATGTTGTCTTTTTTTTGTTGTTGTATTTTTGGTTGTTGTGTCCCTGCTTCCTTTTTGCAACATTCGGCACACTGTTTTTTTGCGACTGTATATGCCGCTTTTCTGCATTTACAACACTTAAATTGTAAATAATGCCGAGCCAGAACGGGACGACGGACGGGCTGTTGCTGTTGTTCACTTTTCGAGTGTGTAATGGCCAAAGCCACTTGCCTTTGTCAACAGCAAATTTGCGTTTAAATGCAGGCTCATGTGCCTTCCCCATTCCTCTGTGCCATTCGTTTTAATGTATTTTTAAATTATGTTGATTTCGTTTTCTTTAAGTGAGCGCAAATACAAGCACAGAAAATAAAAGTAAACTACATAAAAAACCCACTCCTTGCAGAGACAATCTCTTTTTTCCTTGTTTTTTTTTTCATATGTATATATATATATTTTTTTTATTTTCTCTGAGTCAAGTTAAGAAGGGGGGAAAGTCTTAGGCGGAGCGGAAAAGATAAATTCCTCTTTCTCTTAATTGGCTTTTCCTTGGGTGTAATCAGATTTGGCCTTTTTCACTTCATTAGAGCGGCATTTATCAACACTAATTTAATTGAAGCAACACTACTGGAATAGTTGAAGGAAGAAAATGCTTTTCTTGGAATTTTGAATGATTAAAACATATTTATTAAATATATATAGTGAAGGGTGATAAATGTATTATTAATATCAATTTATCAAAGCGGCATTTATTAAAACTGATTTGGTTTTCGAAACACTAGAGGAATAGTTGAAGGAAGAAAATGCTTTTCTTGGAATTTTGAATGATTAAAAATATTTATTAAATATTTTTATTGAAGAGTGATAACTTTATAATTAATATCAATTGATCAAAGCATTTATCAACACTGATTTGGTTTTCGAAAAACTAGGAAAATTATTAGAGAAGGAAAACAGTATCCTAAGCACTTTTTGCTGGATAAATAAATTATTAAATAGTTAAAAGTAAAGCATTTATGTAGGTTTTAAGTTTATTATAATATTTTGCTTAAGAAGCAACACTAAAAAAAGTAGTAAAAGAAGCAAAATCCTTTTTCAGGCTTTGTCAAACCCAAAAATAAGTTAATTAAGTTTTAATACTACAGGGTGTTGGAGTATTTACATTATTTAATAATTTCCAGTACTTAAAATTGATAAATTTATAAAAAATTCAGCATTTAAATGAATCAAATAAACCGCTTGGCAAAAATAATCATTAAATTTCATTTCATAAAAGTGTATCTACTTCAATTTCAAATTGCCATATCACCACAAACAGAAAATCCATAGAAAATCATTGGGAAAAAAATCATAGGTTTATAAAATACTCAAATAAAATGTAAAAAAAAAATCGAATGCATTTCCCCCCATTTATAAAAATGACGTTCATTCAATAACTAAATAAAAGCATTTTCCATGCCCATAAACACCATATTGAAACCACTTTCATTAGGTTGTAAAATCTTTCTTTCTTTTCAAAGGATTCCGCAATGCAGGACAACAAAAAGCAGGCCAAGCCTCCATTTCCCGCCCCATTTTCCACATACACAGAAGTCCGTTAATATGGGTTTTTCCACTTTTGTGCAATCGCCAATCTCTCGCTGATGAATTGAAAGTATTTTTTATATTTTTTATAAACATTTTTGTTTTCCTTTCTTTCTGTATGTGTGTTTTTGTGTTTTAGTTAAGCTTTTTGGCAGATTTTTCATCACACAACCGAAAGCAATTATGCAACGCAAAAAAGCCAAAAAACGGAAAAAGTAAAATCAATGTCACAATCAAGTTGCATAAATGAAGCTCAGGCAGCATCTGCTCGCTGCAAGCTCTTAAAAATATATATACGTATATAAAAAAATATATATTTATATGCATAAGAGCTGGGGTATTATCGATCCCGTTGTTACGGTTACAATATATATATATATATATATATATATATATTTGAGTTTTTACATTTAAGTTTTTAACGCTCGCGTTTACATAATTGCCAGCGAAACAAGTTTCTTGCACAAAAGAAAGTGAAATCGAAAGAAGAAATTTTTACAAATGATCGTGATGCTGCGATAATCACCGTTACAAGGCTACAAAAAAAAAAACAGTCCATAGATAACACCAAAGTATATAAAAAAAAGATATATATATAAGATATCTATACATAATGAAAGCAACAGTTTTGACCATGAAATCCATGCAGAAAAGACTAGCCAGAGATTTGCATATTCATGAAGTTCATCTTGTTGATATTTCCGATATGTGAGATACACTTGGGGAAAAAGTTGGGTGCTTAAAGGAGTTTCAATTTTTAGAAAAAAAATATAAAAAAAATACACAAGATATGCAAGCACTCAAATATTACTTAAATATACAAACAGATTCGACTTTTTTATATAAATAAATGAATAAGAAATTCGGTATTACTTTTCAAAAATACATACTTATAAAAGAAAATAATAAGTGGAGGATTGTAAAGATATTTTATATTTATTTTTATATTACTTATTTATACACATAAATAATGATAGCAAAATAAAACTTTTTTAAATTTAAAATACTGATTAAAATATTTATTTATATCGCAGAAATAATAATTTTTAAATAAGGCAACTATTATAAATGAGAGTTGTATTGAAATATTGTTGTATATTACAAAAATAATTATTTTTAAAATTTGTACTCATTATTTATATGAATTTGTCGAATTTTTAGACTAAAAGTCTAAGAAAAATATGCTAAAATATATTTTCTAAAAATTGTTTAACATTTATTTATGTGAAGACAGAAACCTTGACTTGATGAAGTATTTTTGATATTAAATACCTTTGTTTATCATAAACATAAATTTAAATTAAAACAATATTGGATTAAAGTGAATATTATTTAATATACTTCTGTTGAAAAATAACATATTAGACTCTTACATTTCTTTGCCTAAAAATATTCCCAACTCTGCCTTAATTGTTATTTTTCAAATCGTTCTGTTTTTATTATGTGTGAATCTCTGCTTATTTCTTTCTGTGTATGTAAATGTACACCCGTTGCCTGGCTGTCTTTCTGGCTTTTTAGACTTTCCGGCTAAATCCGCTAATTAGCATGAGCGACTAACCAAGCGAGCAAAAGCTGCAAAAGTTGCCGCTAATCAAGTTGGAGGTCAGTTTCTTTCGGCGTCTGTCATTTTTGGCTGTCAGTTTTGGCTAAAAAGGTGGACGGTTTTTTTTTTTTTCTTTTTGTCGTCGTTACGCAACATTGGAACTGGAAAGCGGGGACAACCCGTTTTCCGCCATAATATCCAGCAAAGAGTATTACTTGGGCCAGGACAGCGGCTGACCTTGCGCGATAGGGAAAAACCAGTTGAGGAAAAACCGCTGGCAATGGTTACCTAATTCGTACAGGAAGCGGCTGACCAACCTGCTACACGTAGTTCCCAGTTTTAAGTTTTTTAATTTTTAATTTATGTTGTAATTTTCTCTTTAGTTTTCATTGCTCAATTCGCATTTCTCAAATAAACAAACAAACATAACAAACACTCAGGAAGAGATGCCAACTCTTTCCATTTCTTTCACTCACTCAAAACAACACAGTAACAAAAATACAAAAAAAAATCATATATATATATATATGACTATATGTAAGGGGAATGCGGAAATTATATATATTATATATGCCAGTTAATATATATATATAATTGTATATTGATTCACGTTGATTGTTGATCGGCACACTTACCATTAACACCAGCTATGGTCAGTAAAAGGGCCACCCACAAACACGGCCGTAACATCTTGTAGATTCTCTGGATCGAAATCTATATATTATATATATATATATATCCCTCTCTGGGAACCGAGTGAGAGAGAGACGGGAAGAGAGAGATAAAGAGAGAAGGGAGATCGATCGGCGAGTGAGAGCGAAACGTCCGCAACGCGCAAATGCAAACCGCCAACTGATCGAAGCCACTGGCCAAGAAATTGCAAGAAGCCAACACGAAGCGAAGCCACCGCCACTCAACCAAAAAAAAAAGTTATACAAAATAAATAATACAAAAAAGCCACTCGATCGATTGTGGCTCAGAGCCCAGAGTTGGGAAAAAGCAGCTCAAAAAGTATGAGAGAACAGCCAATAAAGCCGAAAGGGTTAAGTCACACCAAACGAAGATGTGGCTCATAAGATATGGCTATAAACAGTTGAGAATTATTAGAAAAATTTAAGGAAATATATAATTAAAAGCTTATCTAGAAAATAAAATTGAAGGAAAGGTTTTTGTACATAAATTATATTTTTTACATAAATTGAAATCATTTTTTAATCACATAAGTGTTTATCCTTAACTTTACCATAACCAATTGGGAATTATAAGAGACATTAGGTAATCATGACAACTATCAAGGTGTTTTTCCAAAGCTTTAAGAATTATAATTGAATTTTAGCTTTTGAAGGACTTAAAAACATATATGGTAAAAAATATTTAAATATATATAGAAAGGAAATACCATAGCTTTCCAAAACCACTTGGGAATTATGAGAGAATTTTAAAAAAATATAATAGAATATTAAAAATTAAATATTAACTTTAGCTATGGAGTAAATATTTTGTACATGTAAAGTTTTAATATCATAAGTAATAAATACCTTAGTTAAACATAATCAGTTTGAATTTGTTATGAATATGTCAGAAAAATATAAACAATATTAGTTTTTTTTTAACATTTTATATATTTTTTTTTGATTATTATTTATTTTAATTTTTTTTATATTTTAAATATATATTAAATATAAAATTATGTATTACTTAACACACTTCCCAGTGAAATTCCCGCCAAAGACTCCCCTCTATTGATCTCGTATTCTCTATTGTATTCCCCTTGCTCAGTCTCAATTTCGGATTCACTTTCATTTGAACTGGTTGCGCCCCGATGACGTTGTCTCAACTCGGCTCTATATGTCTTTATAAATATATATATACTCATATATATATATATATATTCGAGTTGAATCGAGTTAATTCGAATCGAGTGAATTCGAAGCGAAGCCGGTTTCATGCGGAGATCAGGAGAGAAGTCTGCGCATGCGTGCGCATTTCAATGAGCTCGCGGCTAAAATAATAGTTTAATGTCTCTCTGTGTGTGTGTGTGTGTATGTTGGCTCTGTGACTTTTGTTCGAATGAATCGAAATTATGCATATTGGCCAGGCCATTATGCTGGCTGGTGGATCATCCATTGCCATCTATCCATATGCATGACGACGATGATGGTCTTCCTCTCTACGGCATTAATTTGCCTATCATCGTTACCAAAATCAGTGATTGCCGCCAGTTAACGATTGGACGAGTTCTTGGCCGGCACTCTTTTTAGCCGCCTGAGTTGGCATACTAATGAGATGCTAATCACACAGATTACAGTTATCAGATGTAGGAGCCCCGCCCAGGAAAATAATAAAAGAAATCAAGTCGTAAGGGGAGAGGTGGTAGGAATATATATTTATATGTATATATAAGTAAAACCTAAGGTACACCCACATTGAGGCATTGTTGCATCATTAAATTCGAGAATGCAGACACAGAGAAAAATAAGGAGGTAGTTTTTGGTTAATTAAAATATAAAATAAAATATATATTAAAATGTATATACAGAAAATGTTGAAATGGTATTTGAGTCTTGTAAGAAAGTGTCTTAAAGTGGCTAATAAAATATTGAAAGCAACTAAATAATATAATATAATGATTTTTATATGGAATATTGAACCTAAAAATATAAAAAAAAGATTAAAATTGTTTTAAAATTGATTTAATACGTAAAGTTCATTGATATGAAATTTAAATATTTTTCAAATATTTTGTATCAAGTTTTTCGAACATATTATTACAAAAACTTTAGAATATCAATGCTGAAAATACATATATTAATTTGATAGTATTTTTTAAATGTATTACAAATATTTATTTAATTGTTTAAATTTCTATAGACTAATTATTTCATTTGTCAAAAATTTTTACTAGAAACATGTTCCTTTCAAGTTGTTTTTTTTTAATATCATAAGAATCTGATTTGCTTTAATATGATTTCATTTCTTATTAATTTATTTTACTTTATTCAAAAGTTACAAAGGTCTTTTTTCCAGTGTAAATTAACTTTATTGGCTTCGTCGCGAGTGCTGAGTGCTCGAGTGAAGGGCAATTGTCTCATTTCAATTCATTTCGATTCGAAATTCTTGATTCTTGGAATTATATTTCTGGGAAAGACAAACCAGTTGAGTTGAATTAGACGAATATTTAACAGTTCTCTTATTTAGAACCTGCTGCTAAAAAAATAAACAATATATTTAAGTATTTAATAATTAATTATATAGAGACAAGAGTAAAAGTTAAATGCAACAATATCAATTCAGATATTTAAACCCAAAGACTTGCTTAACTTTAATTAGACAACCTTAAAGAACCTTGAAATAGAATAAAACAAATAAAAGCTTTCATAAAACTGGTCCAGCAATTTATATTCACTAGATATTTAGTCTGTATACAGTACAGTTTGTGTTTGTTAGAAATGTCAATAAATGAATTAATTTAGGTTTTCAGCTTTTCAGCTCTCAGCTCTCTTTTGGCATTTTATACAATTTTATTTCGCTTTTTGTGCTGTACACAAAAGCCTGGCATGTGAATGTCAATAAACATTGGTTTTTCATTAAAAAATCGTTGAAGATTATGTCTAAATGAATAAATATCATAGAATATGAATAAATAGATATATATTGTTTATATTTTTTTGGTTTAGAGGAAAGTGAAAGCGTGTGTCGAACGGATAATCGAGATTACATCTTAATGGGTTAACTATAGCATTGTGTTTCTCTCTAGTTTGTTGCTCGAATTATTCGTGAATAGTAAATGAATACTCGCATAGTGAATTTCCATTTCGTTTCGCCAGAATTATGTGCATTTTTCGTTGGCTTCCCAAAAACTATTTTCACAAAAAAAAAAAATCAAAATACAAAATAAGTGTGGGTTTCTCTCTAGCTTCCCCACACGCTCATACATTTTTTGGGCTGATTTTTGAATATTCATTCACACGAACAGTGCGTTTCGGGGATATAAGACACGGGCAGCTTAAATATGTGTTAAAAAGTTTATTTTTTCTAAGTCACCGCTTAATTAGCTTAAATTTATATTTTATGATTATCCATATTAATATTTTAGTCAGAAGCATAAAACTTAGTGAAGGAGTCATTTCCGACCCTATAAATCAGCATAAACAGCCGAATCGATCTAGCCATCTCTGAGAAAAAAAATAAATTATCGAAATTTTTTCCATTTTTTTATGTCGTTTTTTACATTCTTAAAAATCTCAAAAATTTGAAAATTTTTAAATTTGCTTTAATTATAAATTGAGTATGCAGATTGATTACACTATTAAAAACTAACTTAAAACAGCTTTCCGAATTGAAATTAATGGTTTTTTAACCAAGTTATGATATTTTTAAATATTGATTTGTGTAAAAAAATGACATATAAAAATATCGATAAATATCGATTTAAAGTATGCGAATATTTATAGCAAATATTTTTTAAGAAGTAATTTTAATAAATTTCATTTAATAATACATTCTAATGATTAGCTAATGATTTAGAAAATAAATTAAAATAAATAAAAATATAAAAGTGAAGTTGAAATATTTAAAAAATAGATTTCCATCTGGAATAAATACCATAAATATTTTTCATTTTAAAACCTTTTGCCTTACAATTTCGTTCCACACCGTATACTGTGCGTATGGACAACAAGAAATTTTTGGCCATTTAAACCAATAAATATGTAAATTTTTCATAAATTTAATTAAATTCACTCACAAAGGGCTGCTGCGTCGCCGCTAACTGCAGCGAAAGTTGTGTGCCCCGCCCCCAAACCTTAACTTCCGCTTTTCCAACGCCCCCTTAGCCTGCGGGGAGGAGTATGAGTGTGAGGGAAAATAGTAGTTGTGGAAGAGTAGAAGAAATGCAAAAGTATTTTTTGCAGAGATCCATGGCTGAGTTGTTTCAGTGAATGAGCGGGAATAAAAGTTGGCAAATGTATGCAAATATCTATCGCAGGCGTTGAGTTGAGCGAGTTGAGCGGATCCCCTTCCGTCCGGGTGTGAGGGAGTTCCGGGTTCGAGGCTCAAGTCTGCAGGTGCCAGATGCCTGACGGACGGATAAATGGACGGACTAGAAGGGGGCTCCAAGGCGGTGAATGAGTGACAGAATGATGCTTTCTGCATGCCAGCACTGGAAAGAAATTTTTGTGGCGGTCTTATAGCACTAAGAAAATTCGAAAAACTTATTTGAGCACCATAAGAGTTAATTGTGTCAGCTGCAAGGTCACACTGTTTTTTAAAATGTAAGGAATATTATTTACTAAGAAGTATCTATATGAATTAATTTTAATACATTTAATATTAGGAAAAAGGATCAGTTAAAATTGAATATGTCATAGTATATTATTATATTTACATTTTATTTTTATAATATTTTATTTGTTATTTTATAATATTTTTAATTTGCATAATATTAAATTTTTAAATATTTTTCATTACAGAATTTATATCACATTAAGGGTGAGTTGCAATACCACATTTTTTAAAATGGAAGAAAATTAATAGATTAATAATATATCAATTCGAAATATTTTTAAATAAATTTTACTAAAGGGTTAATTGTGCAGGGTTATTGGTCACAAGTAATATATTTCAAATTCTGGTTAATTGATCCGTAAAAAGAAATATATTGCTTTAAATCAAGATGTAAAATTTTTTACAAATATTTTACCATGTCACACAAAGATTAATAATGCACATAGCATGGTCACACTGTACCTTTTTTTGGTCTGTGTTCTCTATT